GCACTTGTCTGCTAAAGGGGTTCCATCTGACAAGGTCGAAGCTCGAGCAGATGATGTTATCCAGGCGATTGGAGTTGAGGCCCTAGAGCAAGCATACCACTCGTATGACCCTTGGGCCTCATTGAAGAAGTCAGTTGGTGATACCATGCGTCTCGTTTTGCCTGCTGAGCTGCGAGCCTCCAAGCAAACAAAGCCTAAGCCGTCTAGGGGGGAGGATCCTTGGTCTCACTCAGACCCATGGTCCGAAGCCGCTGCCTCATCAAGTGCGCTGCCCAACCCAAAGCACGTGTCCATCGCTCTTATTGCTGGCACTTTTGTCGGTGAGGGAGGTGCAGAGGTACCCATCTTGAGCTCGCTAGCTTCAGGTGCACGAGGTGTCACGCTGTGCCCGAATGATGAAATCGAATCCTTTGTGACGTTGGCGGGAGGATCCGAGGATGAGCTTGCCGCCGTCACCATCGGACCCTGCAAGCCTCGCGTCACAGATGAGGCTGTCACTTCCATAACTTTCCCAGCGTTGTCAGTAGGACAGAAGGTCTTGTTGAAAGGTTGGTTGGTGCAGCTTGGTAACAGGAAGGTGTCAATGAACCTGGTTAAGCATCAGCTCAGTATTTCTGATAACGCTGTTGAGGTCATAACGGTTGAAATCAAGAAAGAGTATTCCCAATCGCAGGACTGGCAAGCAGTGCAAGAGAGCCCTTTAAGATTCGTTTTTGCACACATCGAAGATTTTGGACCACACACCATTGCCACATGGTCTAAGAAGTGGTTCTGCAACGGCAAGCCTGCCGATGCAGCCAGTGCGATGTCATGGCACTGCTTCGTCAAAATCGCAAAAGATCACATGGACAAGGTGATTGCACAAAGTGGTAAGCATGCCATCTTTCTGACACCAAAATGCTCAGAGTCAAGTGCGCCCAGCGGTCAATACAAAGTGATTTGGCTCGGCAGCAAAGACATTTCGAAGGCTTTACTTGTGCAGCGTGCCCACCAGACAGCCAAAGGTGTGGTTGCCGGCAAGTCCTCACTGGGACTGCGGGTGGTAGCATCGGAGTACTCACAAATCCGGTCCAAACTTGAGCCAAGCTGGAAGAGTGAAGGTGTCAAGACTGACATCGCTATCAGCTCACGATGGGTGCTATCACCTCTCCCCAGCAGTGCTGACAAGAAGACGGTCCAAACCTTGTTGGACCAACTGAAGTGGGAAGCCATGCCCTTGAAACAGATCGGGCATGGAGCCTGGCTAGTAGGATCTGCCACTACAACCTCACCTGCAGAAACCTTTCAGCTGAACGACAAGCTGGTGTTGATAAATCCAGCTGCTGAGAAGAAGGCAGATTCTGTGCAGGATGCATTAGTGGCGGGCCCGTCCACACTTAGGCGTGCTCTCAATCGACACCTTGCGCAGGGGACGATCGCCGCGACTGTCCCCGCAGCAAATCCGCAGGACGCGCCAATTGCGATCCCTGCCGGACCAACTGTGACGATGGCCACACAGTTGCGCTCTGAGATAGATGGAAAACTTGAGGCTATGAAGGCCCAGTTTGATCAGGCCATCCAGGGCCTGCAAGGACGCATGACAGAGAGTGAGCACAAGACCACGCAAGGCCTCCAGCAGGTTCGCGAGGATCAGGTTCAGTGTGCTAGGAGGCTTGAACAGGTTTGCGACGATCAGGCCCAGTGCGCGCAAAGACTGACTCAGATTGAGCAGAGTGTCACCACTTTTGCCCAAAACGCCGTGACGAAGGTAGATTTAACACAGGCCCTGAAAGAGGCCATGGAAGCACAGCGGCAAGAGCTGCGCCAGTTGTTTAAGCGTTCGCCGGATTCAACTCCGGGCAGCGACGGGAAAGCCCAACGTGTCCAGTGAAGTTTCGGTAGTTTCTGCAATCCCACCTGCTTCAGACAGTGTATGGTTTGTGATTTTCGTGCCCTCACTGCAGTCAGGGATGCGGAAGGAGTAGCTGTACCGGTTGCGCCTGAAGCTCGGTCGGGATTAATTCGGCGCTCATGCGACGATAATGTGATGATCAGGTATGT